TACATCTGTCTGCATCATTTGATAAACATTTTATAACACAGTCTGAAGCACATTTCCCTTCCAAAAAACCAAATAAATTACAAGATAGATTTTCCCCCACAATATATACAAGCCTATTTAATAATACTCTCTCCATCATCTTGGAAAAACAAGATGTTAAAGACACTGGCCTGTATCCACCAGTTGCCTTAGGGAAAGGAATAACTATCGCTTTCTTCCATTCTGTTGGTAATCTACCCTCTGTATAGCTCATGTTGAATAAATCTAATAATGGACTATTTTCCATACCAACTAAGCAGTTCAAAATTTCATATGTCACACCATCTTCGCCTGGTGCTGTAGATTTTCCTTTTTTAACAGCATTTAATAACTCATCTTGAGTAATATCTACACATGTTACATCACAAATATTTAGAGCTGATGAAATAAATCTTCTTCTTTCATTTTGCCACTCATCTAATGCTTCTATTGTCCTGTTAGGCAGGGAGGCAACACTAGCAGCTTTAGCCCATTTGTCAACCAGTTTATTAGCTTCTTCCTCTGGATGAGGATGGCTAATAAAATTACTCCTTTTTCCTCTAATTTTGTTAATATCCTGCCATATATCTTTGAGATTTTTACTCTCCCCAATGTGCTGTGCAAAATCTTGCCAATATTTCTCCCTTGCCTCCTTCCTAGTCTGCCCACATATTTTGGCTATATCCATGAAGATTTCCCTATCTTCTTCTCTTCTACCATTCTTTACCCAATCTTTATGTGCTGCCCTTAACATTTGTGTCCATCCCTTCAACATTTTGTCATTGGTATAGCAGTGTTTCCTAGCCCCATGTCTCTTATCATTTATTTTTTTCTGTGTTGACTAAGTTAAATATCTTTCTATCTCCCCAACTAAGTCATTATAAAAGCTATCCATACAGACTGGTGTATAATTTCTGTACCATTTCTCTATATTTTGGGTAAACACTTCTGTGTCATCCTTGTTTAGTTTCAATCTCTTCCTCCTATATCTCACCTGTCTCTTCCCTAATGGTAATTGAACATACACAACAAAATGGTCACTGACTAGCTCCCTTATTATCTCACATTCTCCCTGGACTCCCTGACTGCTTATCATGCAAGCATAGTCTAACCTTCCTCCTTTAATATGAGTCACTTCCTTATTTCCTAACAAGTAAGCATCTGGGTGATCTTGTAAAAATTGCCAAAATTTTATACCATTACTATTAATTCTCCCCATTGTTTCGAGTCTTGGATGTCGAGCATTAAAATCGCCTACAGCCAAAGTTGAGTCCAAAAACATGCAATCTGGTAAGAAGTTGAGGTCAAAACAGCCTCCAGAAATATACAAATTTGCTATGTTCAATTCTCCTTCCTTCAAATATAACTTTATACAGACACTTTCTATTCCTTGTACTCTACTTGGGCTTCCAACTAGTTCTGCTGGTATGGAATTCTTAATGTATGTTGAGACCCCTCTTATACCTTCACCCGAATAGAGATGAAATCCCTTATATCCAGACAGTTTAAGCAGGTCGCCTTTCCTGTCCCCAGTCTCTTGAAGGGTAATTATGTCAATATTATTTTTAAGGGTAAAGTAATGTACATCTGTCACTCTATTTTGTAGACCATTAACATTCCAGGACATTATCTTAAGGCTAGCTAGATCCAGGATTAATATTTACACATTTTATATCCTTTCCAATCAGATTCTTTAAGAAGGCCCAATCCTCCTGCACAGATTCCCATTTCCTCAAAAGTTTTTCTTTATCAGCATCTTTACACTTTACCAACACCTTTTTAAAACTTTCAGTTGTTGCTCCCTGCACTACACAATCCTTTATTTTCCTCTCCTTCCCTTTAATACTTATTTTAAGCACTGAATTTTTCAAAGGCTTGAGCTCTTCACTTTCCTCTTTCCCTTTTAATTCTACATTATTCACAGCTTTGTTTTCCCTTTCTTTATTTATCACTGTATCAAGTCTTTTCTCTATCACTTCTATTTTCTGACCTAACTTTTGCAAAAGCTGAAACATCTTAAGCACCTCTTCTCCCAGAATTTCTTGCACAGTTTTATCACTAGCCTGGAGGGCTGCACCACTACTCTCACTTGCTACTTGTTTATTACTCTGTTTGTTCCTGGCATCAAGAATGCTTCCGGCCGCAAGCGCAGTCCTTATCCTTCTTGAATCTTCATGCCAGGCATTCTCAGGAATCACTGTCTCCACTGTCTGTGTGTTCTCCTGCTGTCTTGTCACTGTCAAACCACAGCTACTTCTTCAGTGTTCTCTGAATAATTCCTTTGTTGGTCACTTCTCATACGTGGCCTCATCTCGCATGCAATTGAACTAGCATTGTGAGTTTTACCACAATTACAACAACAAGGCTTCACTTTCTCTCCTGCTTTGATCTTGTCCTTACAGTTGCTAGATTCGTGCCTCTTCCCACAGAATCTACAACGTGAGTCCAGTTGACAGCTCCAGGCCTTATGTCCCCATCTGCAACACTTGAGACACATTATTGGTCCCTCCACATATAGTGCCACCTTCCTATACCCTGCTCCTGTGATGAACACTTTCTCTGGAACCTTTCCTCTCATTAGAACAATAACCTGGCTTCTCTCTTCGCCCCTTATTAAATGCCTCTTGACCCAAACAAATCTTTCGTCATCCAATAAGTATTCTGGATCTAGTATTACAGGGTACCTGAAGATTATATCCTTTGTAAGTAGTATGTCTCTCTCCTCTGGCAAAACCATCAGTAATCCCTTGTACCCAACAGTTGTCAACATTTCCACAGCCTCCATGGTCCCCACTGTAAGATAAGGCTTGTGTATGCCTTCTTTCAAAAGAGGCTCAAAGCTGCGATGCTCCCGTCCTAGTTGTACTGCCCATTTTAATTTTTCAAGGAAGGTCATCGGGCATGACTGTGGAAAAATTAATCTCTTCCTGACACGACCAACTTCACCTTGTGTGTGTTCTTGTCTGCTTCCTTCAAATTCCATACTTCGCTCTGTTCTTGATCCATTCTCCACTATCTCCTTTCTGTTATTTCCATTATTATTACCACCCACACACGTTTTTTGTCCTAGATGTTTTTGTCTCTTCTCCTCTCTCACTTCTTTGCTTTCACTGTCCCCTTGCCAGCTTGTCTCCCTCATTCTTTTAGAAATTTCTTTCTTTTTCACTACCTCGTGTTGTAGCTGTATTTTCTCACTTTCGAACTTCCCTTGTGCTTCATCACTCGTATTAGACTCATCACTACTCAACTCAAGGTCTTCAAGAACTTCGTCCAATACTATCTTTTCTTTACTCTTCCATGTAGAGTTCTTAAGCGAAAATTCGCTTTCCATGGGGCAATGTTGACATCCCACAACACCCAGCCAGTAGTGATGGGACCCCGAGCAGTGATTTTCGTAAGGTAAACAGTAAGTTCCCAACACCAAAGTTGCTTGACGATACTTATCTTATCCTCAGGTCCTTATACACAAGTAGGTAAGTCTATACAGTATATCCTTCAGATAATGTAATAGGCTCGAAAACATCCCAAATTTGGGAGCTAGCGCTCACAGCTGTGTTTACCAGACCCAAAAATGAGGTCGCGGTGCAGAGGTAGGAGCTAATGTTTATTCTACTCTGGTCAATCTGCTCTCTTTGTGGATGTATGTCCGTTCTGGCATGCGCTTCCATAATAAGCCAGTTTCATCCACATTGAATATTTGTTCAGGCAAATAATTTCCCTCCGCGATGACACGATCTAGCTCCTCCATTAAAGCATCGGCAGTACCAACATCAGCACTTGCTGCCTCTCCACTCACCTTTACACTATGTAAACTGTAGCAGTTCTTAAACCTTTGGAACCACCCATGACTTGCTGTGAAGGTTTGGTCGCACTCATCTCCTGTCTGCTCCTTCAGGCTTTCGAAAACGCTTCTTGCCTTAGCCTGTATTGTTAGAAGGCTTAAGGGCACACGCTTTTGTATTTGGTCTTCCATCCACATCACAAGTAATTTTTCCATCTCATGAATAGGACCTTGTCTTTTTTTCGTTATTATTGTTCCCTTTATAGGTACTGATCCTTTCATTACCTCACGAATACGTTCCTTGTCCTTCAAAATTGTTGATATCGTCGAGTGAGAGAAGCCTAGGTCGCGTGAAATGGTTGCTACCGTTTTTTCATTTTCATATTGCATTATTCTCTTCATTTTCATCTCAAAAGTAATTGACTGTCTCCTTTTCTTCTGAGCACCGCCAGAACTCTCACTTCTACGCTTGCCAGTTATTCTAAAGTGAATTAGAAACGAAAATATTGTCAGTACACAGCGCAATCACTACCGACAACAACAACAGCCAAACACCAACTGAGCGCTCTACGGCGTGGATGCTGCAGCCACGAGGCGACCCAGCCCATGCGACACTCTCGTACGGGACGGAAACATTTCGGTCCTAGAAAATACGCGCGGTGGTCGTGTGTGCTGGTGGTCGTAAGTCGAGTAGGTCGTAAGTCGAGGAATAGCTGTATCTGGCTGGATGCCTTATCTGGTGCACCCCTACAAATAAGCTTTCTCATTGCTCACTATACCACTTTACATGATACCCTGCTTGCAAATTTGAAGTAAAATTTGCTCTCCTTCCCTAAATATTTCACTTGTAGCTACCTGGCCATAACTACCTGTACTGTACTGTAATCCCCTACCTGGCATAAATCCATACTGCATTTCATTTATGTCTACTCTCTCCCTTATCAATTTCTCAATCACTCTCTCTACAACATTCATACCTGACCCGTAACAGAATGTATTCCTTCTGTAACATGGTGGATTACTGCACACTGTAGATACTATGGGAGTAACATTTTCCAAAGCTGTAATTGTAAAATATAATACAGTATACCCAGTACTGTACAATATAAAGTAGCACTTTAAATGCTTGAGAATGAATGTTGGTTAAAGATTGACAGTATCACACTAATATATATATATATGGTAATTGCATTTTTTCCAGAAAAAAATCCCTTATTGGGAGCAGAAGATCTTCCTCAGTCTGCCATATCTCCAACCGTGTCCACCTCATACCAGAATCCATCTTTGCATCCTGTTCTACCAGACATTTCCAGTGATGTAGTGGATGGTGTTATTCAAGCAAGAGGACATTCACAGTATCAGTATATGGAGGATCCATTCTTGGGAGATAAGGATGAAGACGAAATAAAAATAAAGATATATCCAAGTCGTTTTTGGATTCTTTTGGTGTTCTCAGTTCTGGCTTGGTTTCAGGTTAGTAGCATCAATCACACATTTAGTGACAGGTTAGGTTAGGATTAAGTTTGGGTAAGTTAGGATTATGGTAGATGTGGTTAGGTTAGGTGAAAATAATAGTGCAGCCTTTTCATGGACTGTAAATCAGGATGCAAGAAAGGGCTACCACATGGTTATGGTGGCTCCTCTGCCAACTGGGGATACAAATGTAATGATAAAATTTAGGACTTGGAGATTGCTATTATTTACCTTAGTTTACTAGAAGGAAGATTAATAATGTGTTTATTTTTCAGTGATAGAAGCAAACATTGTAAACCTTTGAATTACCATATTAATGGACAACTCATCTGAAGAAATAGACAATTCATTATGAAGAGTAGATGGGAATTTAGCAGACAGTTACTAAAACAGGATAAGACTGATAGTGTATATATACTGTACACTGATATCCTATTCCATCACCAAACATTGGTTCTCATTTTATTTTTCTAGCTCATAATAACTTTGAACTCTTCAGTTAGGCTTAAAGTACCTGTATGGTTAAAAAGATAATAGAAAAATTAATATCCTCTATGTTATTCCTCAGAATTTGTGGGGTTGTTGCTCTTAGACTGTACATTACCATATATTAGACCATGATTGTATCACAGGATCTGACAGTTCCTCTGTATTTCAGTGTGTACAGTGGAACACTTGGGGTCCTCTCAGTGAGAGTGTTAATGCAGCATTCCCAGGCTGGGGATCAGAGACTGTGGCCATGATGGCCAACTGGGGTACAATAACATTTGTGTTGTTTGTCACTCCCATGTGTTGGCTAATGAACACAAAGGGGTTGCGCATAGGAGTGCTGTGCTGTGGGATTTTGGTGGCTGGTGGCACTGTTCTCAGGGTTATTTCAATTCTTACAAACTCCACAACATTCTTTACTAGGTGAGTACTAGAGAGCTGATTTAGTAAGGGTTAATGAAAAAAATTGTGAAGACAAATCGAACTTCCATCCTATACTGCATGCACTTTGCACTGTCAAGTAATATACAGTATATTGACTTATGAAAAACTACAATGTACATTACACTTTCAGGCCAGTCTCAATTATTCTTACATTAACCATACTGTATTAGGGTGTGTCATAGGAGGGAAGATCAGCTAAAACTAATGGCCCATCACTTTTTTGGTAGATTTTAGTGTATATAAACAGAAAATAATTTCAGTTTCAATATTTTGCAACCTTTTGCTAGGTAAATTTTAGCGTGAAATTTATCGAAAATCTAACGTACAGCTGCATTAGTGCATTACAATTAAATAGTGAACATTGCTTTTCCACTGACATTCTTTAACAACCCAACTAACAATATTTTTTCTGTTTCAATTCTGATGCATTTATAAGTTGATAATATTTAGGTAACGGCATGTCAGGGCGAGGAACCAAAAATCCGACATCTCAGTCACTATCTTGGGTCTGGGGAGAGAGCTCCTGAAGTGGGAGTTGCCTACGATGAGAGATGCTTTGAGAATACGGTGTTTTAATCAAGGCAAATCAGTGAAAAGAACCAAGAACTTACACAACAAAGACATTGCCAGTGATATGACCAAAGCTGTCTTGGCACAGTACCTCTAGCTACTTGCCTTTCAGTTCAAGCCTCCAGTCCATAACAAGTCAGAAGAAGATTAGTGAGACTGCTAGCCAGTTGGGAAAGGCAAGAGATATCTCTCTTGGGAGAGGAAAACTTGCAGTTAAAGGGACGGCTGCCAACGCTGGACCAGTTATTTGACATAATTACTTGCAAGTGCCCAAATTGTTCTCTGTCCTGAGTTTGAATCTGATGGTGACTGTAAAATCCGAGGGCCCATCTCCTGTATTTGCAAGCAGACTGAAGATTCCTGTGTGATAGAACTGGCATTTGTCAAGAAGCACAGAGAGAAGACTGGCAGTATATAAGGGGCTCTCATGATTTCTAGCCAAGATATTCCCGAGGGTCCCAGAGACAGGAGGCTGCAGAGAGACAGAGAGGAAAGAGTTGAAGAAAAGGGCTTGGGAAGGCCCAGGGTGGGAGGAGTAAAAGGCCGATGATTGGAGTCAAAGCTGATTCAGTTTGTGACTTCCCCATGGCTGATCCGAGTGCTGACCAGGAGGGAATGGTGACTTTGTCCCTAACCCAGAAAATAATGATCCCAAACCTTCCGGGCATAGATTCGGGAAATAGGAAAGATATCAAGAGCATAAAAGCTTCTTGGCCAGCATCAGGCACCACACTGGTCTCAGAGAAACTGCAGAATAGCAACAGCTGCCTGGATTGACGGTGGTTTGATAACACCTGATGATGTTCACCTGGTGATAGATCATAACAAAGTAAGGAGAGAGCTCAGGAGAAACTTGTCAGTAACCTAGAAGAGGAGTTTGATAAGGGGATAAGAAAGTAGGTCAATTGTTTGTTCTTTGATGGGAGAAGGGATGACACTAAAAGTGTTCATGAAAGTTGGAGATTCTGACAAGTTGTTCCCTGCCATGAGTGAAGGAGGAACACTACTCCTGCTGCAGTGAACCGGGAGGGAAGTATTTGTGGCATTCCTCCAGAGAAAGATGACATCAGGAAACCAGCTGAGATAGTGGCAGATAACATTGTGAACTGAAAACAAGAGAACGTAGACCAGACCCTGCAGGCCAATTTGGAGGGGACAGCACCAACACGAGACACAGGGGTGGCAAGGGGGGTCATACAGTGGATAGAAGGTGGGAGAAGCTGGTCTGGATTGTTTGTGACCTCCACTAGCGAGTTGCCACTCAGACATCTGATCCAAGGAGCTGGATGGCAAGACTCTTTCAAACAACAGTGATGCAGTACTCTTACGTAGGAATGCTGGACTCTGCCACTGAGTTAAAAAGTAAATCCGAGCTTTGAAAAATCACAGTTGGCCTCCACTTTCGTTGAGCTTACATACTGTCATTGAAACCTGAGTACTGACCAGTACTATGGTTACATGATTTGCAGGTGCCATCAAAACTGGGGTCATGCCTGATGGGCTTGCCCACACTGGGCCAGGCCCAGTCTCACATTCTAGGTGGCTCTACAACGGCTCAGGTTCTGCAGAGATTTGGGTGGCTCATCATAAACTGAGAAAGGAACCAGCCTTCACAACCTGAGACTTGTTAATCCAATTCATCGTAGTGTCTACTTGCCAAATTGGTTCAACACCAAGGTCAAGTCATCGTTCTCCGAAGGTCAAGGGCATGTTCTCTTCCAGCTTGAGCTCCTGAGGTCAGCCAGGAAGGTTGTTCAGATTGTGGAGCTGACTGTGAGGAGATCTTCTGGTATGCTCATCGAGGCAGTTCTGCAGACAATGCTCTGCAGTAGGATGAGGAGGGAGAGAAGAGTGGCAGTCAAAAGATCTTGGATATGAGACTTATGTAAGGAGGATCTGGAGCATGACAAATCCAGTTGGTGTGATTCCTTCAGGGGTCAGGAGAAGACTCCTGAAGTCAATCTAGTGCCCAAGACCCTCACTGATCTCATAGATCTGGATAACATCAGGCTGGCAGTGAGCCCCTCTTACCTGCAGCCTCACCAATGTTCAAGTCAGAGCTGGACAGCCCCATGCATGTCCCTGCCTGGCCCTCGCACAGAGTATAGGCGTTGTGTACAACAAGTGGCGAGGCCAGCAGTCGATGTACAGCCAGGAGAGGAGGAAGGCTACATCGAGCTCAGGTGGTCAGTAAGGGATGTGATGAGTAAAACAGAAGCAAGAAAGAAAGACATGTTCTCATGGTGTGCAGCAACTTACCGGTGCGTAGTAGTAAACGGTTTTTGTATTTGATGATTTTGTTTTCTAAAGGAATATTAAATTTAATAAATGTGTCAAGATCATTCGTTTCACTATTCTGGATCATTTTCATCCTAATAAATTAACCTGATACATGTACTTTACTTTAAATAAGCTATTTAGTGGTGTTGGTAAAAGGGTGGGAATACTGAATTTTCATAAGATTTCAAGTTAAAATTTACCTAGCAAAAAATGAAAACTTTTCAAATCTGAAGATATCACATGATTCTGCACATAGAACTACATCATTAATACCATGGGCTGATTTTTCAAACTCAAAAAAAAAAAATCGCCTCCGTATGACACACCCTAATACTGTATATTGCACAATACTGAGTCTTTGTTGTACCTTATCATGTTCCTTATACCCTTTGTCATTAACCTACGAGAATACAGGCCTTAACCCCTCCATTACAGGGTTGCCTTTTTTAATATTTGGTTTGGCTAATGCCAGACAATTTTGTTCACTGGAGAGGGGATCCTATACACAAGTGGTTAATTAACTTCCTTACACCAATTTGGCTTGTTCCCATCATTTGAGTATTCCTTGTTTTACGTTATCAGCAACTCACTTCACAGTGCTGTATTTTTTATCTTTTATCTTTCTTCCTGTTTCAGTGATCACCAGATTTATTATTAATATCTTGAAAAATCCAGCTAAATTGCTTGTGCTACATGTGCCATATTGTACAGTTTTTCCAGGTAACTGATTTTTCATTTTACCATGCTCATTGATTGTACTGTATGGTCATTTCAGTTTATGTAACCTGCTAGTACCCATCTGTACTTTTTTAAACTTATCTATGAAAACTGATTAGAAAACACTACTAATTTCTTTTATTACTGGGCAACTATTCAACACTGTGTGAGTATATAAAAGAGAAGTGATTCTGTGTATGACCAGAAATTCCCCTAAAAATAAAATTGCTCCAGGCTCAAATTCGTTTCATCATTATGCAGGGGCAGATCCAGAGGGGTTCTTTGGGGTCCAGACCCCCTCTTTTCATCAGAATATTCCAATACTTTTTCTTTAATGCAGTACTGTATTGCACTCAGGCATTTTTTTTTAGTAAAAAGTAATTGCTATTGACCTCAGAATATCTCCTCACATCAAGTGCACATGGCTTCAAAATATCCTCAAAATGCCCATGATATTGGTCAGATTTAAAAAAAAAAACCCTGGCTGAGTGGGTTCGCTGTGCTCGCCATGTTCCCCCCACCCACAACTTCTTGGGTCCCCCTTTTGATATTCCTGGATCTGCCTCTGGTATGGGAATACAGTATTATCTTAGCTTCTGGAACATCATCCTGCTTAAGAGAAAGATGTAACTCCTTGTAATGGCAGGTCAGTTTATCATTTTAGAAGATGCCTCAAGTCAGAATATTTTCTCTTGGAGTATTGTTATGTACAAAGTCTTAGTCTAGGGTTCAAGATGGAGAAAGCTGTATTCTCTCCTAGGGTGTGATTCCATACTTATGCTTCACCTGACCTTTTCATTGTACCATAATCACTACAAAGTACCCGCTATAGCCTCTTGATAACATTAATTTCCTTCTGTAGTATGTGTCATATATGCGCTATAATGGTTGGCATTGCGGGAACCCTGCTCATGGCAGCTCCGCCAATGATAGCAGCTGTATGGTTCCCACCCAACGAGAGAACCACAGCTACAGGTAACTATGCCTTAGATAATGGAAGGGTTTGGACTGATGTATTGCAGGGGTTAAAAGCATCTAAGTATTCCTTTTGTTATATATTATACAGGTATCCCTCGATATACAAATAGGATAGGTAAAAAATATGTGAATTTTTGTATCTTGAATAACAGAATAAATGAAAAAATAGAGTTCGGTTCCCCAGTGACAAAAATACCCTAATGTTATACTGTACACCAAAACACAAAATCACTTCATAAACAAGAAAACCAAAACTCAATAACTAAATATAAATAGTAAACAACTGCTGTAATATGCTACCTAACATATTAATAATATTAATAAAATACTATCTAGATGAAAATGTGAGCTAATATCATTAAGGAAAAGCTAAACCAAATTTAACACAGCTGCCATTTGTTTAGACGCTGGTTATGTCATGTGTGGCTGCCCTCTAACCTTGCCTTATCAACCCAGCCCAGTCACCTCTCCTTCTTTAACAACGCTCCCACATCCTGCTCTCACACTCAAAGAAATGTTTATTCCATTTATTTTTTGTCCTAATGATAGTTATTTCTTTTATATTTTTGCCACATTATGTGTGTAGGATTGTGTGTGTGCATTTAATTGAGTGAAGAAAGCTAAGTCGATCTACACAAAATTATGAGTTGAATAATAACCATAACATAAGTCTCCCCAGCTCATCCTGCTAACTTTCGCTGGCTCACGAAGAAATGCTTATTCCATTTATGTTTCTGAACTTATGATAATTTTTTTTTCACATATGTATATAGGATTGTGTGTGCATGTAGATGAATTTTAAAAAAAAAGTATTGTATATATGAAGAGGGTTATGTTTATATACTACAGTAATATCTCCGTTAGCCGGAATCTCTCAAACCTGGAAATCTCCAACAGCCGGAATTGAAATTTCCTCGGAAAATCATTCCCAAAGCCGGAATTTAAAAAAAAAAATCCGGCTTTGGTAACAAATTTTCCGAGGTTGAAAATCGAGAGAATTTTCTGATAATATCTTGAATAAAGATGAAAGTTAAAGTATTTTTTGGGCAGGGGCAGAGAGGGGTAGACCTGACCTGGCCTGACTAAATGTCAGGTGGAGGTAGGGTGGGGGATTAGTGGTCTCATATTACTGTACTAACCTTCTGATGGAATGTCATGTCACCCTTTCTTGGGTGGAGGATTAGTGGTTCTCATGACCTGAATATCTCTTGAATGAACACAAAACCTAAAGTATTTTTAGGGAGATTGTGATAAGTATAAGTATAAATGAGCAAAGTTGTATCCCTTCAACATTACATTACATAACATTTTAAAATATCGAGTGAGAAAGCAGAAAGGTTTGGGTGATGTGTTCTGACCTTACTCAGTTGTGTTCTGACCTCACTCAGTTGTGTTCTGACCTCACTAGGGGAAAGGTCACGGCAGGGTTAGCTCCCGAGGGATAATTATCAGATATGGCCAGTGCTATGTGTTGTCTGGGATGTGCGAGTTTGTTGGCCAAGCTGGAGATGGTCACGTTGGAGAACCTGAAATCAAAGGAAGAGATGGTGAGGATGAAATTCAAGGAAGAGATGGCGAGGTTGAAGGAAGAGGCGAGACAAGGAAAGCCCGTGTCTGACGATAACTCAGACGAGTGGAAGGTTGTGAGGAGAGGGAAGACCAAAATGGTGATGAGAAGACACACCAAGGATACGTAAACAACGACATCAACAGCTAAGTGTACCAACTCGTTCAGCCCCTTGATAGACGAATAGGACGTTAGTACAGTCAGGGACAGGGCTGACAAGGAAGGTATAAAAACTTTAATTGTTGGTGACTCACAGGTAAGGTACTTGGACAGGACCTTTTGTGGTAAAAACATAAATAGGATGAGGGTGTGTTTGCCAGGAGCTGGGGTGGGGGATATAGTTGACAGGATGGACAATATCTTGTCTGGTAATGGGAACAAACCCATTATCTGCCTCAGTGAAGGAGGCAATGATATTGGCCGGTGTAGGAGTGAGAAGCTTCTTGATAAGTTCAAGGCAGCTATAGATAGTATTAGAACTAGGGGAGGGATCCCTATCACATGCGGTGTCCTGCCTAGAAGGAGAGTTGGCAGTGAATGGTTGTCAAGGGCGGTTGGTGTCAACGACCGTCTTGACAGATATTGCAAGTCAATATCAGTCCCATTCATTGACAACTGGGACAACTTCTACGGCAGAAGGGGCCTTTATGCTAGGGATGGGGTGCACCTGTCTTGGGATGGGGTGGCAACCCTGGCTGGGTCTCTCAAGAGGGCAGTTCAAAGGATATCGAAGCCTTTAAACTGCTAGGGGAATATATGGGCACGGGGGTGGAGGAGACTGCAGTGGGAGCAGGTAAACAAAGTGAAAGATTACAGGGAAATAGTGTTAGGAATGACAACAAAACTAAGGCAGACAGGGAGTTTAAACCTAAACACGGTAAAGAGAGGACTCAGAACACGACTAACTTAAATGTCTACTACGCGAACAGTAGAAGTATGAGAAACAAAATGGATGATATTAGGGCCTTGGTATGTACCGAAAACATCGATATAATAACATTCACTGAAACATGGATCAACCTGGACTCACATGAGTTACCGGTCGAATACCAAATTGCGGGTTACAAATTGTTCCATATTGATAGGCAGACCAGGAAAGGAGGCAGAGTAGCAATCTATGTCAGGGATAATCTGAAGGGTGAAATAAATAAGGAAATAAAAACTGAGCAGAATACAGAAATAATTTGGATAGAATTAATCGACGGTGGGGAAAAATTAATCTTAGGAGTAATATATAGACCTCCCAATCTTGATAGAGTTAACGAGCGACTTATCTGGGATGAAATGCGCAGGGCTTCCATACACCACAAAGTCTGTATAGTAGGCAATTTTAACCTTGGCCAAATAGATTGGCCTGACCTTACGGGTAACTCAGTATCAGAGGATTTCCTCGAAACGATCCAGGACATGTCCTAAGTCAACATATAACCGAACCAACCCGGGGTAATAATATACTCGATTTAGTTCTGTCGAACAGAGAAAACCTCATTAGCAATGTCGAGATAGGGAATGAACTTGCAAACAGCGATCACAAAGAAATTAGATTCCAGTTAGATTTTCAGGTCAGATGCAAGGAAAATTCCATTAAAGTCCCAGATTTCAGAAAGGCAAACTTTCATAGTTTAAAGAGGCAGCTGAGAGAGGGGGTGTCGCGCTTGGGCGTGAACCTGACAGATGACACCGACCTGATAACGAGATCTGAGATTGTCGAGTTCCACAACAATTTAAATTATGAGTTACTTAATGCACAAAGGCAGAACATACCATACAAAAAACTCAGATCAGACAACAATGACGTTAAATGGATAAATAATTATTTAAAGAACATTATTGACCAAAGGAAGGCTATAGGTAGAAGGATAAACTGTGGGGAAATTTACCTCCGGGAGTATTATAAGGTATTGGCAGGTAGGGTTAAGACCGAGATAAGAAAAGCAAAGAGGAATAATGAACTGAAGATAGCAAGGGAGGTGAAGACAAACCCCAAAGGATTCTACCAAATGTATCAAACTAAAACACGAGATAAGATTGGACCAATACAGTCAGATACCGGCGGGCTAACTGATAACGACAGAGAAATGAGCAATAATCTGAATAAATATTTTTCAACAGTTTTCACCACCGAAAATTTAAACATGATACCCGAGGCTCTGACTCTATTCAGAGATAGTGAAGAAAACACATTAAGCGAGATAGTAGTGACTAGTAAAAATGTTAATAAGCAAATAGACAAACTGAAGCCTAATATGTCACCTGGTCCCGATGAGATATTTGGCAGAGTTATTAAAGGAATGTAAGGAAGAGCTTAGTATGCCCTTAGCAAAGTTGTTTATTATGTCCTTAAAAACAGGTGTAGTACCAGAATCCTGGAGGATAGCGAATGTAATACTGATTTTCAAGAAGGGGGATAGATCACTATCCTCTAACTACCGCCCAATCATTCTAACATCAATAGTAGGCAATTTACTAGAATCAATCATTTCATACTCTATTCGAAACCACCTGGAAAAGCAGAAGTTGATCAATGATTCCCAACATGGCTTCACAAGTGGGCATTCATGTCTAACTAGTCTATTAACATTCTTTTCATCAGTTTTCGAAACGGTGGACGAGGGGCACAATTATGATGTGGTATATCTCAACTTTAGCAAAGCCTTCGACAGAGTCCCCCGCGAAAGACTAATAAGAAAGGTAGAAGTGCATGGCATCAAAGGTAATATCCTTAAATGGATTAGGGCGTGGTTACTGGACAGGAAACAGCAAGTGAGCATAAACGGCACTAAATCGCATTGGAGCAATGTCACTAGTGGAGTTCCCCAAGGCTCAGTACTTGGACCATTATTATTTATTATATACATAGACGACATAGATATCGGCATAGACAGCAACTTAAGTAAATTTGCTGATGACACTAAAATAGGACGTGTAATTACTTCTGACGAGGACTCTGCAAAACTACAGGACAATCTAAACAAATTTTTCGAATGGTCGGAAAAATAGCAGATGAAATTCAGTGTGGACAAATGTAAAGTACTCAGTATAGGATATGTAAACAGAGACTTCGGAGTAATGATAAGTAGGAATCTTAAACCAAGTAAACAAAGTGTTTTTGCTCGTAACAAGGCTAATTTAAGTACTTGGGTTCATAGAAAGGAGTGTTAGTTACAAGACTAGCGAGGTCATCTTAAAATTATATCTAGCGCCTGTGAGACCTTACCTGGGTTACGCAGTTCAGTTCTGGTCACCTTATTACAGAATGGATTTAGAATCCTTGGAAAGAATCCAGACGAGAATGACAAGACTAATCCCGGGCATTAGGAACCTTGAGTACAGTGACAGGTTAAAGCATCTTAATTTGCACTCCCTCGAGAGACGTAGAGTGAGGGGCGACATGATAGAGGTGTATAAATGGAAGTCAGGGTTAAACAAA